TGTCACCCAGACAGACCTGGATAATGAATAGAAAGGCTAAAAATAACCTTCAGAAAGGATGAGGCAACTACATAAATATACAGGCGCTATAATTTTGAAAGGAATGACTCCAGCCCTCCCTCTGAGGCGGCCCTGGGCAAGCCTCCCCCTCCCTTGGAATGGAAACCGACCCAGAAACCTCTATAAATAAGGCTGTTCTCCTCAGTAAACCCAGCAAACACTCAGCGAGAAACGTGTGATGGGAGAGGAAGTGTGAGACACCATGGAGCTCCTCAGAGCTGTGATCCGACACTGAAGTGCCTGTGATTGCTTCCAAGTGGGAAAAGATGGATGTGCAAGAAAAGTCCCCCAACCTCGCGCTGGACGCAAGCAGGTCTCTCCTGCTGGAACCCAGCCTCTGCCTTCCCCGCACCACCTGTCCCTCTGCACCTGAGGCAGCTGGCCCGCCTCCCAGGCACGGCCCACCCGCCGCTGGCACTGCCGCCCCGCAAACCTGCAGCTCCCACCACCTGGGGCCGCACAGGCTTGGGCTTGGAAAAGGCCAGTTACCAAGGAAACAGGCTGAGCCGGACTTCCCACACGGCCCCTCTGCTGGAGCTGCCCAGGGGGGCTGTGAGATGACAGGGCCTGCTGGCCCCTCCCTGCTGGTTCCCACTTCCCCTCTGGAGAAGGACCCTGCCCTCCATCAGCCCCCGCCCCTCAAGACTCGGTCCCAGCCTCCCTCCTGAGGACTGTGTCTGTCCACCACGGCATCCACCAGGTGAGCTGCAGCCAGGCCCTCCACGGAGCCAACGCCTCTGGCACCGCAGCCCCACGTTCTCTTGGTGTGGCCCAGACCACTGGCCCCCCGACTGCTGGGCTGGCGAGGCCAGGGAGGCCGGGGCTGGGCCACTGGGACGACACCCTCCAGGGCTCCTCAGACCAAGGAAATGCTCCTTAGTAAGATTTTTTAAGAGGCCTGGGGCCCGAGGCAGGGTCAGGGTCTAAAATTCTGCCTGAACATCTGTCTGCTGTAAGGAGGGAGGCTCAGAGCTAGACATGCTGTTGCCCTGCCATTCAGTGAATCCGGCTGCACCAGGCTCTGCCCTGGGGTGAAGCCCAGTCAGCAGGAGTCCCTCCTCCTGCATTTCCTCCTCTTCGGCCCCATCTCAGATCACCCCCTTCTCCACCAGCAGTGTGACACCCCCCCCCCCCCCCACGCGGCCATGCCTGCCCACCGGGCAGCAGCAGTTGGGTCCAGAGCGAAGGGCTGAGCCTCAGGGACTGACTGCCCGGGAGCTCGGGGCCTGGAGCAGGGGCGGCCGGACCTCGAGGACCTCTGAGGCACTGGGAATGGGAGGTGCCTTTCTCTTTGTCAGAAGAGCCACGGGCCCTGGGTGACCTGAAGCCACTTTCCCAGAGGAAGGGCCCCTCCTCCTGTCCCTGTGAGTCGGAGGAAGTGCCTGGAGAGGGTCCTCTCTCTACCCCATTATTGCCACAGTTGTCTGAGGAGCCAGAAGACCTTTCCAGCACTGCGAGCGCTCATCCTGAATGTTGCTCCCTGAGAAACTAAAGAGAGAGAAGAAACAGGAGCAGGCCCCTCGGCAGCAGACCGGGAGCCGCGAGGGCCTGGAGCTATTTCCAGCTCAGTCTGCGGCGTCTCAGAGACACTGACAACAAGCGGGGCTCCCAGTGCTGCGCCCCCACCTGTGGGCGTGGGGTCCCCGCCATCCCTCAGCAGCAAAGGAGGCCCCTGGCAGCATCCTGGCCATCGTCACACCGTCCTGAGGGGTCCTGGCCCCCATGCTGGGCAAGGCGCCCCCCCACCCGCCACCAGGAGGAGCCCCTCTGCTCTCAAGCTGTGGACCCTCTCCACTGGGGCAGCAAAGGATTCTTCTCTGACTGATGATTGTTTGATGTTTTTAAGGGAGATCCGTGCAGTGAGAAGTGTATTCCATATGGCTGCCCTGGGTTAGAAAGCCGCCAGCGGGTGGCCCCTGCGCGGTGAGCGCCCGAGGTGTGGCCTGAGTGAGTGCGGTGTGGACTGTGAGGGTGACAGCAGGTGGCCCCACTGTGTTAGTGCCCAGAGAAGATGGTGTGTTTTCAATAAAGCCAAACAGCCCTGCACCTGCTGAGGCGGGGGTTCTGATAGAACTTCCTGCTGCTGATTGGTTTGTCGTCTGAGGTGGTGGGAGGCCGACCTGCCCCAGGCCACACCCCTGCCCAGGTGGCAGTTTCCACCAGAGCCCTGTTCCCTGAGAACCGGAATCAGGGTCCAGTCTGGCCTCCAGCCCGTGAGGCCCCCGCTGCCCTCTCCCCTATGGACCGGTCCTCGGGCCTCACGGGGCCTCCGTCATCCTGGCACAGCCCAGCTGCCTCCACCCCTCAGCCTCTTGGGGTGAACAGAAGAAGATGCACACTTCCCTGCCCCTCCTCTGTGCCCCCACAATCTGCTGCCCACACCTTTCCTTCGGCAAGTTAGCTGCTAACTCACTGCGGGGAGGAAAGGGGGTCCGACCTCCAGCAGTCCTCACAGTGGGAGCTCGAGGGCCTGTCCTGGAGCGTGATGGCCCGGCTGGTCTTGGCCAGCGCCCTGCTCTTGCTTGGGGAATGGAGGTTCTCTATGCTCCCCTCTCCCACATCTCCTGCCCTTCACTCTGTCCCCCGGCCACCCATCCTCGCTGGCCGCAGCCATCTCCCAGAGCCGGGGTCACTCCCCTGCACACAGCCATTCCTGGGTGGTTGGCCCAGTCATCCTGGGGCTGGAGACCTGGCAGCAGATGCTGGCGACAGTGTCCCATCCTACACCACCCCACCCCACCCTACACCACCCCACCCCACCCCACCCCACACCACATGCTCAGTGTCAGCCCATCCCTCAGCCCTCCCGGTGCTGCCCTGGCCCCCTTGAGCTTTGGGAGAGTTAACATCCGAGCCCTGTCTCCTCTTTGAAAAATAAGCAGAACAATAACACCCACTTGCTGAAGTTGTTGTGAAGACCGGATTATACTGCACATAAAACTCAGCACCATGCTTGGCACATCACAGGTGCAGGAAAGACGGTCACTATGACTTGCTATTTATTACTCCGGGAGCTTGTTTTTTGGGCTTAAGTTTCAAATTTCTGACCGAGATCATCTGATTGGCCCATTATGGGCCAGGTGACTCCTATAGGACCAATCAGCTCAGGCCGGGGCACAGTGAAAACAGCCACTGAGGCCCCAGAGAAAAAGGAAATGAAAGCGCTATGAGCCAGGCAGCCACCCCAACTGGTGGCTACCAGGCCTGTTCTGGGTGACATTTGGCATTCATTGAGCAAATACTTATTGATACCTACTGCTAGTTCCCCCAAAACCTGGACAAGAGGGACCCTGGGCCTGGGTTTTGTGCGTTAGAGCAGTGCTTTCCTAACTTGGATGTGCACACAAATCCCAAACCTCGCTAGGATGCTGATTGTGACTCAGTAGGATCTGGAGCGTGGCTGAGAGTAGCAGCTCTACACAGCTCCCAGGTGGTGCCCACACTGTGAGGAGCAGCCCTCAGGGGCGTCTGCTGAAGTCCTTCTCTGACGGCACCCCTCCAGCCGCAGGAGAAGTCACAGGAAAAGGGATGCGTTCGCCCAGAGCCCACACCCCATCTTTTTTTTTTAATTTTATGTTTTTACTGATTTCAGTGAGGAAGGGAGAGGGAGAGAGAGAGAGAAACATCAATGATGAGAGATCCCACACTGGAGATCGAGCTGCAACCCGGGCATGTGCCCTGACTGGGAATCGAACCATGACCTCCTGGTTCATAGGTCGATGCTCAACCACTGAGCCACGCCAGTCGGGCCACACCCCATCTTGTACACCATGCTCCTGAGCAGTCCTGAGCCTGCCTCCAGAGTCTGGACAGGCCTCTCCCTTCTCCAGGTCCTGCCTCCCAACGGTGGTCACAGGTGGCTCTTTGCAGGAGATGAACAGGCCGAGGTGTCCACTTGACATGCACAGGCCCCTCCAAGTCTGGGATGGAGCCTGGATGGGAAGAGGAAGGGTGGGCTATGGGGTGGGAGCCTGTTCTCTCTGCACCTCATATTCCAGTCTGCCAAGTCTTTATAAAGGTTCATTTGTTAAAGGGGAAGACAAAACACTTTTTATTTAAGTTTGTTAGTTTGGTTTGTAACTTTTAAATCTGTAGCCACATGGTAGGTAGGCCTCTGTGGAGACTCTTGTCCTGGGCCCCACAAGTGGTTGGGGTGGGCTGGCCTGCTGTGTGCACAGCTGCCCAGCTCTGCGATCCTGTTCTCAGGGCCCTGAAGACACAAGTAAGCTCGAGGCCCACTGCCCCTGACCTTGGTCTCATCTGGAGAGGCCTCTGTGCTGGTGGAAGAAGGGCAGTGAGAAGGGGAGTGACAACCGTGAGGACAGGCAGGTTGGCCCACACAGCACATGGCAGACAAGGCTTCACCCACCTCAGAGTCCTCCCCAGGGCTTTCTTCACATGAGGATGGTTCCTTAGAACCACATTCTTCTAAAAGAGTCTCCCAATAGGTATAAATAGCACCTTTTTTTAAAAATGTTTCAATTTGGAAAAAAATTGGGTCTCTCACTTAGGATTCAGGAAACTTGAATTCTAGTTCCACTTTTGCTATTCAATTTAGACAAATACTTTCTACTGTCTCAGCCTCAGTGCCCAAATCTATAAAATTATATCAGTTTCTAGCTCTAAACAGTTATTCTTAGACTCCAAATCTCAGTCTTCACAGCGTTATCGCCTGGTCTGGCCTGTGCTGGAGCATGGAGGGCCACGTGGACTCCTTTTTAGAGTGCTGCCCTTCCCAGCTGCCTTTGGGGTGCCACCCACACCCCAGACGCTGTTTCAGAGCCTTTGAGCCCCTCTACGTCAGTGGTCAGCCAGCGAGCGTGCATCAGAATCACCTGGAGGGCTGGAAAACAGAGGGCTGGGCTCCACCCCAGAGTCTCAGGGGCCGGGCTGGGCCCAAGAATGTGCATTGCTGACAAAGTCTCAGGTGATGCTGATGCTACTGATCAGACTATCTCACTTTGAAGACCGCCGTTAAAGAAAGTGTGAGCTTGCCCTAGCTGGTTTGGCTCAGTAGATAGAATGTCAGCCTGCGGACTGAAGCGTCCTGGGTTTGATTCCGGTCAAGGGCACATGCCCGGGTTGCAAGCTCGATCCCCAGTGTGGGGCGCGCAGGAGGCAGCCGATCAGTGATTCTCTCTCATCATTGATGTTTCGATCTCTCTCTCCCTTCCTCTCCGAAATCAATAAAAAATATATTTTTTTTAAAAAAAGAAAAGGAAGTGTGAGCCTCACAATAGCTTGACAGATCCTGCCCCAGCGAGGTGGACGGCTGGGGTGGGAAGGGTGAGTGGTCCTCAGGGAGGAAGCTGGGCCGAGCCTGGAGGAAGGGAGAGAGGCCTGTGACCACGGCCACCATGCTGTCCATGGGGAGGATGGGATGTGCAGGACAATACCTAAGCCCCCAGCCCCGGTGTCCCAGAAGGTGCTGAGGTTCTGGGGCAGCTTTTGGACTTCACTCCCCTGCCTAGCAAAACTGCCTGCTCCCACTGGTCCTGCGCCCCTGCACCCACCCTGCATTTCCGAGTAGGGCTTTCAGGTAGAGGGGAGGACTCAAGGATTAGCATGAGGAAGGTGTGTGGCCAGAATGCCCCTCTTCCTCTTTCTAGCTTCTGATATCCGCAGAAACCCCCAACTCGGCAGAATTCCACTCTATATTCTCTACTGTGGCCAACTTCGGGATGAAGCGAAGGGCCTGGTGACTTACCAAGTAGGACATTCTTAGCCAAAAATTCCAATCCAGTCAACTTCATGGCATCCAATACCCTTCTCCCCTTTTTCCTTTCTAGCAGACCACAATGTGGTTTGGGAACGCAATGAACCCAGCTAAAAATATGGGTGACCAGGCAACCCAGTTCTGGCCAATGAAATACATGGGAAAGTTAGAGGGTATGGGTGTCAGAAAGGCATTTTAAAAGGACAAACTGCGCTAACATAGCTCTTTCCCCTTCTCCTGCCCAGAAAGCAGACACAATAGCTGGAAAAGGGAGCATCTTGCTATGTGAGGCAACAGCACAGGAAAGGGCACGGTGGGCAGAGCTGAGCATCGGGGTGGAGCGGCCTCTTCCCTACCAACTGGGAGCCTTGTCTTCTTCAGTTTCACATGCTCAGCCCCTACCTCAGACCTGGCTTCCTGAATAGAAGAATTAATACAGCACGAGTCAGTGGAGCATCAAGCGCAGGCTCCCATCCTGGCAGGGATGCCCTCTGGCCCACTGGCAGCCTTAGCCCAAGTTGCTTCAGTCTCCACTGGCCCGTTGGCCTCCCGAGGGCAAAGCCAAGCCCCTCGCAGTTACAAGCCCCAACCGGACGGGGGCAGGACCGATTCTGTGCATTGGTGGTGTCTTCAGACTTGGAAATGTCACAGCTCGGGGGCAACGGCTCATTCCTGTCCCTTACCCAGCACTGCCCAAGGAGGAAAAGCTGCCTCCCTGAGTGTGTGTCTGCTGGCCTGCTGCGAGGGCACCTGGGACGGGGCCTCTGAGCCCCAGGGAGGAATCGGGGACTCGAGTGAGGCAGCCGAGCAAGGCCGTGGACTCGGGGACTCTTCTTTAAGATCAGCCTGCTGAAATGTGCCCTAAGACGGCAGGTGGACCAATGGCCAAGGCAGAGGGGTCATGTTCACTCTGGAGTTTTTATGGCAGTGAAATACGGGAAACAATCCACATGCCCAGCAGTATTGGCTTTGATAAATGAAAGCTGGGGCAATGAAATACAGTGGGTAGTCTGCAGCCATTAAGAGCTATATTTACTGATATGGAAAGATTTCCATGACATATTGTTGAGTAAAAAGAACAGATTATGAGACAGTGTATGATCCCATTATCATAAAATCGCACACGCACACGCACTCGGAGCTGTCTGGAAATCTGTTCACCAAACTGTTAGCAGTAACTCTCTCCAGTTGGTGGAATTTAAGGGTAATTTTTACTTTGTTCTTTAAATTCCATATTCTGAATTTTAAAGTAGTCTAAATTATTCATCATTTCCACTTTGAAATGAATAAACAATCAAACAAAAAATAAAACCTTCCACTCTTCTGATCACAGCCCCAATGTCTCACGTCCCCTCGTATCTTGTCAAGAAGTTGTGAGTGGGCCCCAACCAGGAGGAAGAGCTGGGCTGCAGAGCAGGCCTGGAGCAACTCCGGCCCGGATGTGGGTGTGGCTCTGCCCCGAGCTGTGGGACCTTCAAGAAGCCACTCAACCCTTCAAAGCTTCCATTTCTTCCCTGAGTGTCTGCTCATGGGCTGGCTGAGGCGTGAATTACAGGTGAGTCAGGTGCTCACACCGTCATCTTGAGGGGATAGAGGGAGGCCCCTGCTTGCCCAGGGAGCTCTGTCATCTCCAACTTCTGCAACTGCCTGTGCTCCTGAGCCACAGCTTCCTGTCAGGGTGTGGGGAGACCTGGGAGGAAGGGAGGGAAGTCTATGAGGCCAAGGTTATCCTGAGGAAAGTGGACAAAAACCCAAGCCCAGCTGGGTCAGCTACAGGAGCCCAACTGTTACCGAATGAAGGTTCCCTGCCCACTGCACACTAGAGTTGATACTATGGCTCACGCTTTTGAGAAAAGAAAGGAGCTTTATTTGCAAGTCGACTGGCAAGGAGACAGGACACAAGGCTCAAAACTGCCTGGCCAGTGTGGCTCAGTGATTGAGTGTCAATCTATGAGCCAGGAGGTCATGATTCGATGCTGGGGTTGTGGGCTACGGGGTGTGCAAGAGGCAGCTGATCAATGATTCTCTCTCATCGTTGATGTTTCTATCTCTCCCTTCCTCTCTGAAATAAGTAAAAATATATCTTTTTTAAATCTGTCTTCCTGATCCAGGATTCGGGACAGGGTTTAAGGGGTAGCAGTGAAGGGTCCACAAGTGTTACTCACTAGTGGTGTATGCAAGGTTTAAACTTTGGCTGCAGATCTTAAGCAGAATAGGACCAGTTTGAGCTAGTCCACAGTTACACTAGCATCAGAGCCAGCAGCCCCAGGGGAGGGCTAGGGGAGGGGGGGGGGGGCAATAACAGGACACCCGAGCCAAGGATCAAAGCTCTGCTTCAGGCAAGGTGGGGAGATGGAAA